CACACACATTCTGAATCCTAATTCTTTGTCACATATCAACTGTCTCCTCCCAGTCTGTAGCTTGTCTTAACTGGTGGTGTCTTGTCAGTCAGATGTTTGAATGTTGGTATGTCTTTGTCAAATGCGCCTATCTTTGTTTATGGCTAGTGTTTTTGTGTGTCTTATTTTAAGAAGTCTTGTGTTATTTAAAAAGTAATACTTCCCTCTTGTCCTTTTCCTTTATGTTCTCTTTCTGGGCTCTTCTGTTAGGTGGTGGACCTCCTGAACAAATTGCCGTGTCTCTGATCTCTTTATATTCCATGTCCTTTTCTTGGTGGAGTTTGGGGGTGTGATGATCATGTTCTCACCACAGCAGAACTCTCTAGGGCCTCCTGAACTAATTGCTGTGTCTTCTGGTCTTTTCTTACTCTGAGAAGGCTTTCCTCTTCTCTCAGCCTCTCGTGTAGCATCCTGTCCCACTTTATACTGAAATCACTCTGATCTGAGAATCTGAGAATAGGAATTACAGTTCTCTGAAAGTTGAATGTGGCTGTTGTCTGGATTCTCTGGCCTTGTGGCTACTTAATTCAGTCTCTTGATCTGCATCAGGGGTTTCTCATGTCCAAGAGTCGTCTGGTCTAGGGCAGGGCTGTGAGGCTGGAAGTCCTGCTCTACTGCAGCTGCGTAGATCTGATTCCTGATTGGTGCCTTCCACTCCCCTCTGCCCTCCTGGTGAGGCATGCCCTGGGTTTCGTGGGCCTGCATGGGCCAGGGTCAGCCGATCAGCTCTACTTCCAGTTTCATAGATAAAGAGCTGTGAGGCCACAGACTCCCTTCTCTTCCCCATCTGGTGGGACTGAAGAGGTCTCCACGTATCTGGGCAGCCTGAGAACTTAGCCGCAGTCTCAAGTCTGAGGAGGCTCCTGGGACTTTTGCCTGGGTATAAGTGCATGACTGCTGGCAGTGCCGCCCGCAAGGTGGGGTGCTTGCAAAGCTATTCAAGTGCAGGCTTCTGCCTGCTGTTTTCAGCCTGACTCACTCCTGCCTCTCCTAGAGTCCTCTTGCAGGAAGCACCTGCTTCACCATGGTGCCTCCTAGTGTGGGGCTGGAATCGCCTCTAGTCTAGTTGGTCAGCCTCACCTTCATCTGCTCTGCCTCTGGGAGGAATGAGTGGAATTCAAGGTGCTGATGCCCCCATTTTTTTTCACTGGCTGGGTTATTTCTTTAACTTTCTTAAAAAAAAAAAAAAAAAAAAAAAAAAAAAAAAATTTTAGGAGATTTTTGAACCCCAAAGTAGAAGATGAACCCTGTATTAGTTTAGTTTTATGTTGCTATTGTAATAGACTACCACAGACTTTATGGCTTAGAACAACATGAATTTATTCTACTGTTCTGCAGCTCGGAAGTCTAAAATGGATCTGCAGGGCTGTGTTTCTTCTGGAGGCTCAAGGGAAACTGCTTCCTGGCTCATGTCCTATCCTCTATCATGAGCCATTTTCTGGCTCATGCCCTGTCCTCCGTCTGCAAAGTACATCACTCCGACCTCTGCTTGTGTCGTATCTCCTGTGACTCTGACTCCTGCCTCCCTCTCTCACTGATATGGACTTTGGTGATTACATTGGGCCACCTGGGTAATCCAGGATAATCCCACTAAAGATTCTTAATTATATCTGTAAAGTTCCTTTTATCATTAAGATAACAGTCACAGGTTCTAGGATTAGGACATGGGCATCTTTTGGGGGGTGTCATTCAGCCTGCTGCAAGCACCCATGTTGACCAGCTTCAGCAGCTGTCAGCTTTCTGCTTTCTGTGTTTCTTTTCATCTATTCCAACACAACCTTTTTTAAACTGGAGAATTTGAAAGCAAATCTCAGAATTGTATCGTTTCACCTGTGAGTGTTTCTGTGTATGTATCTAAGAGATATGTACCCTTAAGGAAGAAATCATAATACGTTTATCATACTCAGCAAAATTACCCATAATTCCTCAATGTTACCCGATATCCAGTTCATACTGTTTTCTCTACATGTCCCTAAAATAACTTTTTACAGTTGTTGGTTTGTTCAAATCAGGATCCAAACAAGGCTCACACACTGCACATGCTTCCTATGCGGAAGAAGCTAGGTCACTGGTCTCGTTGATTTGCCTGATTTTTGCCTTCATGATGTCATTGAAAACGTTCCTCCATCGCCTCGTCTACTGTGAGCAGTAGTTGGACTAGAGGCCTGAGTAGACTCATCTGGTATTTTTAGAAAGAATACTTCGTAGGTGGTGCTGGGTTCTTCGTACTGCTTGCATCCGTGAGCACATGGTGTCTGGTTGTCCCATTTTCAGGTATGGTGGGTTAGTGGGTGCAGGTACTGTCAGGCTGACCCCTCCATTATAAAGCCCCCTGTCTACCTTTCACCTGCGGCTGAGCAGTCGTGGATGGTCATGCCACTGTCCACTGTTTTATTAGGGACTGCAGAACCGCTCTCACAATTTCATTCCTCTTGTGTTTATTAGATCTAATTCCTGTATTTTTAAACATATAATGATTCCACTGGGGTCTTGGGAGGGGTGGGAAGTGAATTTGTGGCTTGGTCTACCAGCTGGACAGCATTAGGGTGTGGATTTGCACCTTGTTAGTGTAGGTGAACATCGAAGCCATCTAAGAAGGTGCTACCCCAGGGAGGTTAGGATGTGTGAGAGAAGCACCAGGTCAGAGGCACCCTGGGTCATCAGCACAGCTGCCTAGCTGGCTCCCCAGGTGCTGTTGCTCTCTGAAAGTGCATTTGGCATAGGTGTGGTGCACTTCTCTGTCCATGTTACATTTATTTTTTGTTTTTTGTTTTTTTATTTTTTGAGACAGAGTTTCACTCTGTCGCCCAGGCTGGAGTGCAGTCGTGTGATCTTGGCTCACTGCAACTTTGCCTCCCAGGTTCAAGGGATTCTCATTCCTCAGCCTTCTGAGTAGCTGGGATTACGGGAGTGCCCCACCATGTCCAGCTAATTTTTGTACTTTTAGTAGAGACGGGGTTTCATCATCTTGGCCAGGCTGGCATTGAACTCCTGACCTCAAATGATCCACCCACCTTGGCCTCCCAAAGTGTTGGGATTACAGGCATGAGCCAGTGCTCCCAACTCCCATGTTACATTTAAATAAAAAAAAAATTACATTACCATAAAATGTAGAAACAGTAGCCGTCAAGCATACTGAGGTCTGGGCAGTCTGTGAGAGGAAAACCAAGAAGTTGTCATTGACCATGGGGTTTGGGAGGGTATCATAGAGGGAGGTTGTGGCCAGCACTTTTAAATGCTGCGTAGGCCAAGAAGGTAAAGGCAGAAATAAATCTTTGGACTTGGCAATCACAAGACATTGGTGAGATCTTGGTGAGAGCCTGGTAAAAACAAGACTCATATAATTATTGCTCCAAAATGCTTCAATATAGATCAGCAAAAATGACAAATATTCAGAAAAAATTTCCATTATCAAGGAACAGGAAAACGGATAATAAAGGCAGAGAAGGAACTGCCCTGGGGCAAGGCCGGACGACAAGGAAGGAGAGAAGGTGAGAGTGCGCTGTACCTTGCAGGAGGAGGTTGACTGCCAGAAGCAGTGGGACAAGGGTGCAGGAGACGTCTCTACAGGGGGTGTGAAGCTGCAGGAGGGGTGATTCTGTGCCTCTGAGGACATGAGACACAGAAGAAATGGGACAAGGGTGCAGGAGACGTCTCTACGGGGGGTGTGAGGCTTCGGGAGGGATGATTCTTTGCCGCCGAGGATGTGGGACACAGAGGTGAGGTTCAGCCATGGAAAAGAGGACGGACAGTCCTTGCCGTGGGGTACAGTAAGGCTGAGCCTGGGGAGTTGTGAGCAGGAGTTGACTTTTCAGGGTATGGTATTTATTGGAGCAGAAGCAGTTCTCTGTTTTAAGCCCATCATTTGAAGGTAGAGGGGAAGCAATTGAGACAATAAAAGTTGATACACTGAAGATTCAGCAGGGAGGGCTGGCTCAGATCAGGACTCGAGGCTGGGTGCAGTGGCTCATGTCTGTAATCCCAGCACTTTTGGAGGCCAAGGTGGGCGGATCACCTGAGATCAGGAGTTGGAGAGCAGCCTGGTGAACATGGTGAAACCCCATCTGTACTAAAAATACAAAAATTAGCCGGGGGTGGTGGTGCACGCCTATTGTCCCAGCTACTCAGCAGGCTGAGGCAGGAGGATCACTTGAACCTGGGAGGCAGAGGTTGTAGTGAGCTGAGATCGCACCATGGCATTCCAGCCTGGGCGACAGAGTGAGACTCTTGTCTCGAGAAAAATAATAATAAAAGGACTTGAGGGATGTATTCATAGGAAAAATCAGACTTAGATTACCTTTCCTTTTTCCTTCTAGTTTTCCAGTTTTCTTGCTTTCATTAAAAAAAAAAATCAGTTTAGATTGTTTGTAACTAAAGTGCTTTTGATGGCAGCTGTAACCAATTTTCCTTGGACTGGGCTGCTCTGGGGCATCCTGCACACCCTTAGCTTCAGTCCTTGGGACAGAGATGAACTGGGAATGGAAGGCTCCCCACCATGGCCAGAAAGACAACTTGTGAATGTACAGATCACCCTTTCAGGTCCTTGATCTGGGTGTTGAAGCAAAGACTCCATCCTAAAGGTCTCTGGCTTGCAACCATTGCTTATAGCCTGTTGCCGCACCGGTCCAGGCCTTATTACATGACCGCCTTTCCAGAAGAGGGGCATTGCCAAGGTGGGGTACATAGCCAGTGTGCTGGAATTTGGCAAGAGTCTTCGAAGAGACCTGCTCAACTTTGCTGTGGTTCTTGTGGGCCCAGGTATCTAATTCCCTAAGAGGATATACCAAAGATGGGGTCTTGGGTGGTTCTCAATGAGCCCTGCCTCACATTAGTCAGACTCATGAATAACCAGGACAGTTTATATCCTATCTTCTCTCCCCAGGGCTGTCAGCCTCACTCCATCCCTAGAAATATTGGAGGTGGTGGTCACAGGCTGAGAAGGAACATTTGTGTTCTTTTAGGAACCAGTGACCTTCAAGGACGTGGCCGTGGACTTCACCCAAGAAGAGTGGGGGCAGCTGGACCTTGTTCAGAGGACTCTGTACCGCGATGTGATGCTGGAGACCTATGGGCACCTGCTCTCTGTGGGTAAGGCAGGTGCTGCCCAAGTAAACGAAGCTGTTCCCATGGTAATGCCTTCAGCTACTCCATGTTTAGAAGCTCCTTGCAGGGGCGAGGGTGGTGTCTCAGAAGAGCTGAGATGATCTTGGGCCCTGAGGTTCGGGGACAAAACTCCTAATGCTTACAGAGCATGGAGTGGGAAGGACCTTGCATATTCTGCCCAGGTTGAGAAGTCACAGGGAGGAATAGGCAAGAGAAGCTTTCTTTAGCTGTCCCAAAGCCTCATGACACGAGTTCCATGCTTTTCCTCCATGCACAGGAAATCAGATTGCCAAGCCTGAGGTCATCTCCCTGTTGGAGCAAGGAGAAGAGCCATGGTCGATGGAGCAGGCATGTCCTCAACGCACTTGTCCAGGTGAGGGCAGAGCCCAGGCTGAACAAGGAACGGAATTCCCCCCGGGCCCTCTTTGTTAAGAAATGGAATAAGGCCATGAAGAGTTACCTTCCTCAGATACATTTAGAATTCCCTCTAAGGAGCTTTCTTCTCTTGCTGCTTTTGATTTAGAGCAAAGAAGCATCACCATCCTAATAAGATAGCCATTTTCGTGTGCTGCAGTTTCCCTCCCTCGCTGTCGGCTCTCTTGATGGCTCCTGTTTTCTGCGGTCCCTTCTTCTAACGTTACCTCTCATCCATGTAGCTACTTAAAATGTTTTCCTTGAATGGCGTAAACCCGGGAGGCGGAGCTTGCAGTGAGCTGACATCCGGCCACTGCACTCCAGCCTGGGCGACAGAGCCAGACTCCGTCTCAAAAAAAAAAAAAAAAAAAAAAAATGTTTTCCTTATTCCCTCTGTTGCCAAACTTGTAACCTATAACTACAGATACTTCTTTAAAAAAAAATAGGTTTTTTGGGCTTTTTGGCTTGTTTGTTTTGGGATAGAGTCTCGCTCTGTCGCTCAGGCTGGAGTGAGTAGTACGATCTCTGCTCACTGCAACCTCCGCATCCCAGGTTCAAGCGATTCTCCCGCCTCAGCCTACTGAGTAGCTGGGATTACAGGCACCCGCCACCATGCCTGGCTGTTTTTTGTATTTTTAGTAGAGACAGGGTTTCACAATGTTGGCCAGGCTGGTCTCAAACTCCTGATCTCAAGTAATCCACCTACCTCAGCCTCGCAAAGTGCTGGGATTACAGTATGAGCCACGGTGCCCGGCTTGGGCTTTTGTTCTTTCTTACTTAGATCTTCTTGGATACCAAACAAAATAGATTTTTAAAATATAGGTAATGTTCAAATATCTGAAAGCTACTTAAAATGTGTAAGCTAAAAAAAAAAAATCTCCTTTATTAAAAAAATTAGCTGGGCTTTGTGGTGCATGTCTGTGGTCCCAGCTACTCAGGGGGCTGAAGTGAAGATTGCTTGAGCCTGGGATGTTGAGGCTGTAGTGAGCTGTGATTTCACCATTGCACTCCAGCCTGAGTAACAGAGCAAGACCCTGTCTCAAAAACAACACCAAAAATAATTCATTTATGCTCCTTGTTCTTAGTCACATTACTATTATTCCCCCAAAACAGAGATACACAGAGGCATACACACAGGTAACCACTTCTCTTTTACTATAAAATCTTGAGTTATTTTGGCCGGGCACGGTGGCTCACACCTGTAATCCCAGCACTTTGGGAGGCCGAGGTGGGTGGATCACAAGGTCAGGAGATTGAGACCATCCTGGCTAACACGGTGAAACCCTGTCTCTACTAAAAATATAAACAATTAGCCAGGCGTGGTGGTGGGCACCTGTAGTCCCAGCTACTCGGGAGGCTGAGGCAGGAGAACAGCGTGAACCCGAGAGGCAGAGCTTGCAGTGAACCGAGATCACACCACTGCACTCCACCCTGGGCGAGAATGTGAGACTCTGTCTCAAAAAAAAAAAAAAAGGCCGGGCGCGGTGGCTCAAGCCTGTAATCCCAGCACTTTGGGAGGCCGAGGCGGGTGGATCACGAGGTCAGGAGATCGACACCATTCTGGCTAACATGGTGAAACCCCGTCTCTACTAAAAATGCAAAAAATTAGTCGGGCGTGGTGGCGGGCGCCTGTAGTCCCAGCTACTCGGAGGCTGAGGCAGGAGAATGGCATAAACCCGGGAGGCGGAGCTTGCAGTGAGCCGAGATTGGGCCACTGCGCTCCAGCCTGGGTGACACAGCGAGACTCCGTCTCAAAAAAAAAAAAAAAAAAGAAAAGAAAAAAAAATGTTGAGTTATTTTCTTGATAGTTGCCCTGGGGATTACAATTAACATCTTTTGAGACAAGGTCTTGCTCTGCCCAGACTGGAGTGCAGTAGCACAATCTTGACTTACTGCAACCTCTGCATCGCAAGCTTAGGCAGTCCTCCCACCGCAGCCTCCTGGGTAGCTGGGACTACAGCCATGCACCGTCATGCTCAGTTAATTAAAAAAATTTTTTTTTTTTGTAGAGATGAGGTCTCACTGTATTGCCTAGGCTAGTCTTGAACTCCTGTGCATAAGCAATCCTCCTGCCTTGGCCTCCCAAAGTGCTGAGATTATAGGTGTGAGCCACAACGCCTGGTCTTACAATTGACATCTTGATTTATGACATTGTAGTTTGGATTAATACTAGTTTAATATTAATAGTATACCAAAACTTTGTTTCTGTATAGCTCTGCCCTCCTCCTTTTATGCTGTTTTGTCACAGATCACATCTTTATACATTGTGTGTTCACGAATATAGATTTGTAATTATTGCTTTATGCAGTTGTCTTCTAACAGACTAAAAAAAGGAGCTAGAAACAAGAATTGTATTTATATTGTCTTTTCATACTTATGTAGCTGCCTTTATTGATTTTTTTTATTTTGAGTTACTGTTGAATGTTCTTTCGTTTCAGCATGAGGGACTCACTTTAGCATTTTCACTCTGTTGCCCAGGCTGGAGTGCAGTGGCATGATCATGGCTCACTGTAGTCTCAACTTTCTAGGCTCAAGTGATCCTCCCATCTCAGCCTCCTGAGTAGCTGGGACTATAGGTGCACACGACGACGCCTCACTATGTTGCCTAGGCCGCTCTTGAACTCCTGAGCTCGAGTGATGCCCCTGCCTCAGCATCTCAAAGTGCTGGGATTACAGGCATGAGTCACTATCCCCAGCCAGCATTTCCTATAGGACAGGTTTGCTAACAGCAAACTGTGGCGTTTTGTTTATCTGGAAATCTCTTGATTTCTCCTTCATTTTTGAAGGATAATTTTACTGAGTGTAGAATTCTTTTTTCTGTTTGTTTGTTTTTGTTTTTGAGACGGAGTCCACTGTGTCCCCCAGGCTGGAGTGCAGTGATGCAGTCTTGGCTCACTGCAACCTCTGCTTCCTGGGTTGAAGCGATTCTCCTGCCTCAGCCTCCCGAGTAGCTGGGATTACAGGCACCCACCACCACGCCGGACTACTTTTTTTTTGTATTTTTAGTAGAGACGGGGTTTCACCGTGTTAGCCAGGATGGTCTCGATCTTCTGACCTCGTGATCTGCCCACCTTGGCCTCCCAAAGTGCTGGGATGACAGGCGTGAGCTGCACCTGGCCCTAGTTTAATTATTATGTGTATGCATGTAGCCTTCTAGGTTGGAGCTTCTCAGAGTCCCTATAGACATTTCATTCCTCAGTTCTTTCATTCTATCTTTTTGACTCCTGTGTTTTGGGCCCCACCTGTTTGCCATCACCTTGGGCAATGGTGACTTTAAAACACTGCCTGTAAATGTTAGAAAAGTACATCCTCCCTAGAGGCTTTTTAACACTATGAGAGTTCTGTGTCAGGCAAAATAAAGACCAGCTTTTCCAGTGGAGTCTTCCAGGGAGCCACTAGGCAGGTCTAGTAATGACTGTTCTTTGGGATTGAGGCTTTGAAAAAGCTCCAGCTTTGTTCTGCTCACTGAAGTACCAGCAGTGGGAGCTGTCATTTTCAAAGGCTGTTATTGAGCCAGAGATGGGACCAGGGTAAGTTAAAACACCATGTAGCTCACTGTTCTTATTAAAATTTACTTTTCTGGGATAAATGTTTCCTGGTTGCTGCAAGGCTTTGGTTCATTTACAGAATTTTGAAAAAATTGCCTTCCGACAGTTTTGCCAGTTTTTTAGTTGGTTTTACAGAGTGTTGAAATTTTAGATGTCTTTACTTTGCCATTTTCACTGACATTCTGCCCCAGGTAATCACTTTTAGTAATTTCTGTTATGTACATAACAGAGTTTCCTTATGCAACTACAAGCATGTAGGAATTTGTGTTGCTTTTCACGTTTTCAACAGTAGGAATATTATACACATTGTCTTTATCTGACTATTTTTGGCAATGTGCCACAGTCTCTTCTTGAGTCCTGAAGTTGGATTATCTTCCACCCACTCTGATGGAGGGGACTTTGGTGGAGAATCTCCCCAGTTGTTTTCTATTCAAATTGGAAACTGTCCCCTAAGAGCTCATGAATTCCAGGAACTTTAATTCTTCTGCCTTCAGTGCTGCCCATCCTTAATTACCATCCAGAGCCCTGCAATTGCAGCACCTCTGTCCTTACACTTCTCCCTTTTACAAAGCATCTCAGCTGTCTCCTTGGTCACAGCCGATAGAACCAGTAATCTTGTCTCCTCTTTCTAGATGTTTTCCCATCTTCCTGAGATGTATTTCTGCATGTCCCCTAAGCTGGAGATTAAGAAGTCATCTTGACTTGCTACTCTTTCCTCGCCAAGAAGTCATCTCTCGGCCGGGCGCGGTGGCTCAAGCCTGTAATCCCAGCACTTTGGGAGGCCGAGACGGGCGGATCACGAGGTCAGGAGATCGAGACCATCCTGGCTAACACGGTGAAACCCCCTCTCTACTAAAAAATACAAAAAACTAGCCGGGCGAAGTGGTGGGCGCCTGTAGTCCCAGCTACTTGGGAGGCTGAGGCAGGAGAATGGCGTAAACCCGGGAGGCGGAGCTTGCAGTGAGCCGAGATCCGGCCACTGCGCTCCAGCCTGGGCGACAGAGCGAGACTCCGTCTCAAAAAAAAAAAAAAAAAAAAAGAAGTAATCTCTCTTCTAACTCCCAAGATTTTCTTCCTCTGAAATGTTAGTTATGTCATTCAGCTTCCATCATCACTCTCAGTCTGGCCCCTGTCTCATAAAATTCCGGCCCAAGTTGATGAGGAAATTCTCACTTCTTGTTAGCCACTTCAGGTGTTATTTCTGGGTTTATATCCCTGAAATCCTTCATTATGAGGTCCCTGTCAGTAAACCTAGAGTGATTCTAATTGCCCTTTAACAAAACAACTGGATTTCAAGACCTTCTGTTTTTTCTATTGTTTCTCTCATTTCCTGAGTAGTTCCTGGAGTTTATTCAGTAGGTATCCTTATCTTCCTCCTTACACACTGGTCAGGCCATGCATGCCTCTGCTCATGCAGAGTGACTAGTCATTCTGTACCCAGGTCGTGCTTCAAGGCTGAGCTCATGTTGTTTCTTTTGTGTGAACCATCCTCAATCCCTTCAGTTAGTGCTGATCTCCTTTTTTGATCTACCACCCACTTAGCATCTATTCTATAACCCCACTATCTCAGAGTGATGTTTCTTTTCTTTTTTTTTTTTTTTGAGATGGAGTTTCGCCCTTGTTGCTCAGGCTGGAGTGCAGTGGCATGATCTTGGCTCACTGCAACCTCCACCTTCTGGGTTCAAGCAATTCTCCTATCTCAGCCTCCCGAGTTGCTAGGATTACAAGCGCCTGCCACCATGCCTGGCTAATTTTTTTGTATTGTTTTAGTAGAGATGGGGTTTTACCATGTTGGCCAGGCTGGTCCTGAACTCCTGACCTCAGGTAATCCACCTGCCTCAGCTTCCCAAAGTGCTGGGATTACAGGCATGAGCTACTGCGCCCGGCCTCAGAGTGATATTTCATGTATATTCATCACTGTTTGGTATGACCTCTCATCACATAGATTCTGACTTCCAGGGAGACCATACTTTCTTGCCTCGTCTCTGGTACTGGAAACTCAGTAGACTACAAGTACTGAGTGAGTATAAAGTTGGACAAGAGCTTTTCATCTGGTCTTTCAGTTGGCCTTTCATTTGGTCAGGGAATTGGTCAGCTTCCATTTGTAAAAGCTTTTACTGGAAGGATTTAAAATCTATATGAAGATAATTCAGTAACTTTTAAGAGCTGAGCTTGAAATTAATAATAAATGCCAGTTGTGCAGACCCTCTGTTATAATGGTCGCGGGGGCCAGGATGGGGGCTCACATTTGTAATCCCAGTGCTTTGGGAGGCCAAGGTGGGAGGATTATTTGAGCCCAGGAATTTGAGACCATGCTGGGCAACATGGCAGAACCCTGTCACTACAAAAAATTTAAAAACATTTATCCAGGCATGGTTATGTGTACAGGATGCACGCCTGTAGTCCTGTTACTCGGAAGGCTGAGGTGGGAGGATCGCCTGAGCCCAGTAATTTGAGATTACAGTGAGCTATGATGCCTGAGTGAGACCCTGTCTCAAAAAAATTGAACAAAAAATAATGGACTTGGGTGGTAAAAGGGGGAAAATTACATACAGTAAAGAGAGAAAAAGAAGCAGAGAGAGAGGACAGGGTCTAGTTCTTGCTGGGACTTGCCTGGGACTTTAGACCCTGTGGCAGTCTGGATAATGACTTCCCCTACAAAGGTATCTGCATCCTAATCTCCAGAATTTGTGAATAGTGCACCTTGTGTGGCAAAAGGGATCTTCAGATGAGAATAAATTAAGGATCTTGCTGTGGGGAGATTATCCTGGATTGTCTGAGTGAATTCTAACTGTACTCACAAGGGTCCTTTTACAAGATTGCGGTAGGAGGGTCAGAGACACAGGGAGAGGAAATGATGACAGAAGCAGAGGTCAGAGTGATGAGCTTTGCAGATGGAGGAAGGAGCTGTGAACCAAGGAATTTGGGCAGCTTCTAGAAGATGGAAAGGGCAAGGATATGGTGGATTCCTTAGAGCTCCTGGAGGGAGCACAACCCAGCCGATAACTCCATTGTAGTTCAGTGAAAGCTGTTTTGGACTTCTGACTTCCAGAATGGTAAGATCATAAATTTGTATTATCTTAAGTCACTAAATATGTGGTAATTTGTTACAATAGCAGCAAGAAACTAATATAGCCTCCTTTGGTTGTTAGAGAACTGATACTTCAGCAGTGACAATAGGCAGCTCCTGTGTATTAAACTTGCCAGGAGTTTGGCTGGATTCTGAGTCTCATTAGTTATCAGAAAAGTTCTCTAAGGATAGCAGCAGGGCCAATGTTCAAATACAGGTTAGCCGACTGTAACGCCTGTGTCTGTTTTTTTACACTATGCTGTCTTCCTAGTCCATCTATCATTGCTCTAAAAATATTCTGTGGTGGATAGAAGTGTAACTTTAGGGGTATCCATGAACTGTGATGATGTTTGCCCTTTGGGTTGGTGGATCTTGTGTGATTGACTGGATTCTGTGACATAGGAAACAATGTGATAGCATTTTGTCATAGGTAACAGCCTGGCTTGAAGCCTCGCTTGGTGATACTCTCTTAACATCCCTCTCCTCCTTTTTTCTGCGTTTGTCAAGATATGGGAGTAGAAGGACATTATGACACAGAAGTGAATTAGAGCACTCATGATGTAAACATTACTTGCTAAAGGCCTTGTGTGCTCACCTACCTACCTTTTGTTAAGATGAAAGGCTTGGCCGGGCGCGGTGGCTCAAGCCTGTAATCCCAGCACTTTGGGAGGCCGAGACGGGCGGATCACGAGGTCAGGAGATCGAGACCATCCTGGCTAACACAGTGAAACCCCGTCTCTACTAAAAACACAAAAAACTAGCCGGGCGAGGTGGCGGGCGCCTGTAGTCCCAGCTACTCGGGAGGCTGAGGCAGGAGAATGGCGTAAACCCGGGAGGCGGAGCTTGCAGTGAGCTGAGATCCAGCCACTGCACTCCAGCCCAGGCAACAGAGCAAGACTCCGTCTCAAAAAAAAAAAAAAAAAAAAAAAAAGATGAAAGGCTTTATTCTCTTTTTTTCTTTTAACCTTAATAACATTTACTGTATTCTTTTGTCAGGGATCTTCAGGACCACCCCAGGTTCACTGATTCACTATGAGGACTTATAGGACTCAAAAGTCATTATACTCAGGATTATGGTTTATTACAGTGAAAGGATACAAGGCAACATCAGCAAAGGAAAAAGCTGCATGGGGTTAGACCAGGTGCAAGCTTCCAGTAGCGTACATGGGGCACACTTAATTCCTCCAGCAGGGAGTTGTGACAACACACGTGAAATGTCTACTAGGAAACTTGCCTGAGTCTAGGAGCCCAGTGTGTTTATTGAGAGGTTGCTCATACAGGCACACAGTGCCTGCGTGACACTGCAATCGCTAAAACTCCAGGCCACCCAGAGGGAAAGCAGGTGATCACTATGGACGACACTGTTTGCACACATATCTAAAGAAATTGGTCAATGTGCTTCGATACCCTGAGCATGCAAAACACTCTTACTAGTTAGAACATTCCAAGATCTTCATTCCCAGGAGTTGGCTAAGGGCCAGTTAGGAAACAGGCCACCTTTGCAAGGTTTGAGCATGTCAGGCCTGCAGAGTTAACTCTTTCCTGCACATTCTTTTTTCTTTTTTTTTTTTTTTTTGAGATGGAGTACTGCTCTGTCACCCAGCTGGAGTGCACTGGCGCGATCTTGGCTCACTGCAAGCTCCGCCTCCTGGGTTCACGCCATTCTCCTGCCTCAGCCTCCTGAGCAGCTGGGACTACAGGCGCCTACCACCACGCCTGGCTAATTTTTTGTATTTTTAGTAGAAACAGGGTTTCACTGTGCTAGGCAGGATGGTCTCTATCTCCTGACCTCATGATCTGCCTGCCTTGGCCTCCCAAAGTGCTGAGATTACAGCACTGGGTGAGCCACCGCGCCCAGCCTCTTTCTTGCACATTCTTATCCTGGTCTTCCTTTTCATGGAAAGTACTTTTAAATGGTTTCATTAGTTTTCAGTACACACTTTATTCTGGTTAACTGTTGTTTACTTTTCACTATTCTTTTCCCTATTATGATCTCTGAGTTCTAAGTCTGGTCTTGAAAACAAATTTATACTTGTCTTTTTGATAATATGGACAGTAAATCTCACCATTCCCACTTTATTCTAATGTGTTTCTCTATGCTCTCATAGCTTTCTTTCTGTCTGTTTCAGAATGGGTGAGAAATCTTGAAAGCAAAGCATTGATCCCAGCACAGAGCATTTTTGAGGAAGAACAATCCGATGGCATGAAGTTGGAAAGATATATATGGGATGATCCTTGGTTCTCCAGGTTAGAAGTTTTGGGATGTAAAGACCAATTAGAAATGTATCACATGAACCAGAGTACAGCTATGAGGCAGATGGTCTTCATGCAAAAGCAAGTACTATCCCAGAGAAGCTCTGAATTCTGTGAACTTGGGGCAGAGTTTAGCCAGAACTTAAACTTTGTTCCATCTCAGAGAGTTTCTCAGATAGAACATTTCTATCAGCCTGATACACATGCTGAAAGTTGGAGATGTGACTCAGCCATAATGTATGCAGATAAGGTTACCTGTGAAAATAATGATTATGACAAAACTGTTTATCAGTCCATTCAACCTATTTACCCTTCAAGATTACAAACTGGAGATAATCTTTTCAAATGTACTGATGCTGTTAAATCTTTCAATCATATAATACATTTTGGTGATCATAAAGGAATTCACACAGGAGAAAAACTCTATGAATATAAGGAATGCCATCAAATCTTTAACCAGAGCCCATCATTTAATGAACACCCAAGGCTTCATGTTGGAGAAAACCAGTATAATTACAAAGAATATGAGAATATCTTTTATTTCTCATCCTTTATGGAACATCAAAAAATTGGTACGGTAGAGAAAGCGTATAAATACAATGAATGGGAGAAAGTCTTTGGGTATGATTCATTCCTTACTCAGCATACAAGCACTTACACTGCAGAGAAACCCTATGACTACAATGAATGTGGGACGTCTTTCATCTGGAGCTCTTACCTTATTCAGCATAAGAAAACTCATACTGGAGAAAAACCCTATGAATGTGATAAATGTGGAAAAGTTTTTAGGAATCGTTCAGCCCTTACTAAACATGAACGGACTCACACTGGAATAAAACCCTATGAATGTAATAAATGTGGAAAAGCCTTCAGCTGGAATTCTCATCTTATTGTACATAAGAGAATTCATACAGGAGAAAAACCTTATGTTTGTAATGAGTGTGGGAAATCTTTCAACTGGAACTCTCATCTTATTGGACATCAGAGGACTCATACAGGAGAGAAACCTTTTGAATGTACTGAATGTGGGAAATCATTCAGCTGGAGCTCCCATCTTATTGCCCATATGAGAATGCATACTGGAGAGAAACCCTTTAAATGTGATGAATGTGAAAAAGCTTTTAGGGACTACTCAGCCCTTAGTAAACATGAAAGAACTCATTCTGGAGCAAAACCATATAAATGTACTGAATGTGGAAAGTCCTTCAGCTGGAGCTCCCATCTTATTGCCCATCAGAGAACTCACACGGGAGAGAAACCGTATAACTGTCAGGAATGTGGCAAAGCTTTCAGAGAACGCTCAGCCCTCACTAAGCATGAGATAATTCATTCTGGAATTAAGCCCTATGAATGTAATAAATGTGGAAAATCCTGTAGCCAAATGGCTCACCTTGTTAGACATCAAAGGACTCATACTGGAGAAAAACCCTATGAATGCAATAAATGTGGAAAATCCTTCAGTCAAAGCTGTCACCTTGTTGCTCATCGGAGAATTCACACTGGTGAGAAACCCTATAAATGTAATCAATGTGAAAGATCCTTTAACTGTAGTTCTCACCTCATTGCACACCGGAGAACTCATACTGGAGAGAAACCGTACAGGTGTAATGAATGTGGGAAAGCATTTAATGAGAGTTCATCCCTTATTGTACACCTAAGAAACCATACTGGAGAAAAGCCCTACAAATGTAATCATTGTGAGAAAGCATTTTGTAAGAATTCTTCCCTTATTATTCATCAGAGAATGCATAGTGGAGAGAAGCGCTTTATATGCAGTGAATGTGGAAAAGCCTTTAGTGGTCACTCAGCCCTTCTTCAACACCAGAGAAATCACAGTGAAGAGAAACTGAATTGAATTTATGCGAGTTTTTTGTTTATCGTACATTTTGACAATACATTGAGGAAAACCCTATAAACATAATCAAGAGGGGACATTTTTCATTGAGTTCAGTAAGACTTCTCCCGCATTATTTACTAGAAAATATCTATCTTAGAAGAAACCCCGTGAAGTAAAAGAATAGGGAAAAGCTTTCAGCAGTTATGTAGCCCTTATTCAAAATCAGATAATTACAATGAAGAAAACTCTAAACTCCCCTTACGGTCTACCAGTAATTCATACTTGAGGACCGTGACTGTGGGGAATGAGGCATCTTTTAGCAAGAGCTCTCACCTACTTGTAGATTGGTGTGAATTGCTAAGGGAAAAACCTTATGCAGAGAAAAGTTTTTGACTGGAAATACACTGTTTTGCATCAAGCTGGAGTATTGGATGGAAAACTTTACAATAACATTTTGTGCATAATTGTAGAAATACAGATTTTGTTGTTATAAGGGGAGGGTCTAGGTGCTCAGGAGTAGAATATGAAATGCTAAATCTGAATGTAAGAAAAATAATAGTATTGAATGGGGTATTTACTGTTGATTAACCTCCTTAGAGAAAATTAATGAATGAGATGACTAATGGTAGAAAAGTTATTGCCTAGGAGTATGAGACTGATGTTGCTGGACAGAAAGTGATCCTTAGCCCGGTGTGTCAGCGTCCATTGTTACTCATCACTGCATTGTTGGGCAATTAGTTTGTATTTTGTTTTAGGCAATCACTATAAATTATAATTATGGACACTGCATCAGTATACATAACAAAGGAATAAAAAGGATACAGAATTGTATATACATATTTACTGTAACAGATCTAAAAAATGTGTATGGATAAAGACCTGAAAGATCCATGGAAAAATTAACCCAGTTAATTTGAGATTTTTAAAAAATTTTACAAATACATATAACAATTATGTGCTGGGCTTTATTTTAAATGGTTTCCAAGTGTTAACTTGTTTAGTCCCCTTAACTCTATGAGATAGATACTGTTACCCCAGTTTTGCAAATGGCTAAGCTGAAGCAGAGATGTTGAAGGATCCTACCTAAGGGGCACAACTAGTAAGGGAGTAGAGCTGAGATTGTTTGGCTCCAGAGTTCTTGTTTTCAGCCACCATTTTATGCTGCCTCGCCAGTGAATTTTTTTTCCATTTTCTTCAGTGTTTCTATAGTAGAGATTTGATAATAAAAAGAAAATCCTAAACAATGAGGAATAACGTTACCTGGTTTCTCTGTCTTGAAGGATTTATAGTAACGTGAGAACTAATATCCCTTTGGAATATGAAGTCTGTGTGGGACATTCAGAATCACTGCATTTTCTGGGACCTGAGTTCCCTAGAACTTTGCTGCCTACAACCCCAAGGATTACAGGGCAGCAGGGCCTGGAGGACTTGCTGGAGGACTGGGCAAGTCCCTTGGTGGGTTTAGAATGCCACTTACAGAGCAGAGGGCAAGGATATTTGTTCCTTTCCAAAACCAGACACCACTGCACTTCAGAGCACCATTTCCCAAGGTTTACCTTGAATTCAGTGTTTATTTTTTCAAAATCTTCTGCAGATGAAAAGCTTACTTGAAGGAGCAGGATTCAGAAGGGAAGAGAGCTAGCCACTCCACCTAGAGTAATGAAGTCTGTGTTCACAGGGGAAAGATGGATCGAAAGACTTGGGTGGCTTCTCTCCAGTCATAAGTATTTCCTGTGCTCTCTAAAACAGGGCTCTAACTGGGGGCCAAGGATCCTTCCTGGATAGGCTTCAAGGGCATTGAGTGGAACTCTGGGGTTCATAAAGCTCATCTAATTTTTCAAGGGCCCATGGCTCCCCGGTGGTTGAGAAATGATGGCCTAGTGATGTCATCGGGAGGCTGTTTTCACCCTCTGACTCCCAGCTGGGGCTCACTTAGGTGTGCAACATTTCATTGCAGTCCTTTTAGGGCCTGACACATTAGTGGTCACCTGATAAATGTGGCAGGGGCAAGTTAGTTATTGATGGATTTTTTTTTTTACATGATTTATGCAAAAGCCCTTGGAGAGAATGAAGTCAGCAGTATTAGCTCAGAGAAAGCAGCATAATATACCCAGAATCATACTACCAGTAGGATGTGGATATTGTATTCTAATACCCAAAGTGAATCCAAATTCTCTGATTTAGAGATTCCAAAGGATTTCATAAGTCATATGCAATATTTCACAAGCATCCTGGTAACTTATAACCTTATTATCAAGATTATTATCTTGAAAAAATTTCTAGGCCAGGCACTGAGGCTCATGCCAGCATTTTGGGAGGCTGGGACAGGAGGATTACTTGAGCTGAGGAGTTCAAGGCCAGCCTGGGCAACATAGCAAGATCCCATCTCTGTTTAAATAGATACAGTTTTTTTTAATGTCTTAAAGGGCTTCCTGGCAGGGCATAGTGGCTCACTCCTGTCATCCCAGCACTTTGGGAGGCTGAGGTGGGTGGATCATGAGATCAGGAGTTCGAGACTGGCCTGGCCAACATGGTGAAACCCCATCTCTACTAAAAATACAAAAATCAGCTGGGTGTGGTGGCAGGCACCTGTAATCCCAGCTGCTCCAGAGGCTGAGGCAGGAGAATCATTTGAACCCAGGAGGTGGAGGTTGCAGTGAGCCAAGATTGTGCCACTGCACTCCAGTGTGGGTTACAGGGTAAGACTCCATCTCAAAAAAAAAAAAAGGGGGGGGGGGTGGCCTCCTGTGGCTCAGGTCACATCACATGTCAAAAGAAAGTCCCAGACTTCTGCTTCTTCTGGGAAGTATTCCCTTCCTGTCACCTAGCATGCACAGCCTGGACACTAAAGAGTCTGGATTGATTTCGGTGTTCCCTAATGTCCAGGACTCGTGGGTCCCCTCTGTCTCCCTCATACATGACTGAGTTCATTGCCTTTTTGAGCCCATCTTCCATTCCTGCCATCTCGGAAGCCTAGGGCCCACTTTCAGTCATCAGGAGTCCCCCTTCACCTTCCTGCTGTGGGTCTTCCTGGTGCACATTGCCTCCCTTCTAAGGGTGACTGCTTTCCTTCCACTTTCTTTTCTTTTCTTTCTCTCTCTTTTTTTTTTTTTTTTGTTTGTTTGTTTGTTTGGAGACACAATCTTGCTCTGTTGCCCAGTCTGGAGGGCAGTGGCACGATTTTGGCTCACTGCTACCTCTGCCTCCTCGGCTCAAGTGATCTTCCTGCTTCAGCCTCCCAAGTAGCTGGGACTACAGGTACACGCCACCATGCCTGGCTAGTTTTTGTTTTTGTTTTTGCGTTTGTTGTTTTATCTTTTTGAGACAGAGTCTTGCTCTGTTGCCCAGGCTGGAGTGCAGTAGCATGATCTCAGCTCACTGCACCCTCCACCTCCTGGGTTCAAGTGATTCTCACGCCTCAGCCTCCCAAGTAGCTGGAACTACAGGTGTGCACCACCACGCCCAGCAAATTTTTGTCTTTTTAGTAGAGCTGGGCTTTTGCTATGTTGGCCAGGCTGTTCTTGAACTCCTGGCCGCAAGCGATCTGCCCTTGACCTCCTAAAGTGTTGGGATTACAGGCGTGAGCTACCGTGCCCATTCCTTTTTTCCTGAACATTTTCCAAGTGAGGTTGGTGGAAATCACGGATGGGGAACTACGCATGCAGAGGGCTGACTGGAATTGATTTCTTTCTGCCTCCTCACTAATCTGCACACTGCAGGCAGGGACCTGGTCTCATCATGCCTGCACCTCCAAGCACTGCCCTCTTACCCTGTAGTCTCCCCATTGGTCAGCTTGGTTCCATGAAGGAACTCCGTTATCACAGCAAGGACTGACCTCACACTGGTGGCTCCAAGTCACTGCCCAAACATTCTGAAGGGAGTAGAGCTTGATTGCTCAGATAGAGGGCAGATGCTGGACTGTAGCTGAGTATTTCCTTTCATCCTTAGGATAAAATACTGATAATTTGAGAGTGATGGACAAGGTTCAGAGTGGTTTCCTCATTTTGTTTTTGTTTGTAATGGAATGCCCACTTCATTTATGCTTGCCGTTTGCAGATGGACTCCATCCCACTAGAAACGTAACAGGCTTACCAGGTAGCTTCAACCACTGGTTTTACGTGACTCAGGAAAAACTGAAAAGCTGTTTCAGGAGAGAGAAAAAGAGGGTAATTACATTTCACCGCAAAACGTTTTCTTTTCAAGGCAATAAACAATCACAGCCACCCAGAAACATCACCAAAGGGCCCCAAGTGTTCTCTCGTAAAACGCAGTTACCTGGGATTCAAGGGGCTGCCTCGAGATCCGTGGGTGAGTCATTGAATTCCTCATTCAGTGAAGTGAGAATCGTAGCCTGGAGTCCTCTCTTATCTGCTATGTGAATGTGTACTGTGTGCTTGGTAGTAGAAAGGTTCCTAAAATAGAGTGTAATTAGATAAACATTTGCTTGGAAATTAGATTTTACATTCTTCGCTCTCTGTTGTGCTTTCTCTTTAGGGATTGCCACTTTCTTCTCTCTCTCCTTCATTTCACTTTAATTAGCACACACAAAAACCTTGATCCCATCCAGATTACACAGATGTGTCTGTCTGACTTGAATTGTAATTTGGTGCATGTTTTGGCAGTAGAGCATGCAAGTCTAGACATAGAAGGTTTACGAGTGTAGAGAATTTTTATTTTTATTTTTATTTTTATTTTTTAGACGGATCTTGCTCTGTCGCCCAGGATGAAGTGCAGTGGCGCGATCCTCGGCTCACTGCAAGCTTCGCCTCCCAGGTTCACGCCATTCTCCTGCCTCAGCCTTCTGAGTAGCTGGGACTACAGGCGCCTGCCACCAGGCCCAGCTAATTTTTTGTACTTTTAGTAGAGACGGGGTTTCACCATGTTAGCTGGGATGGTCTTGATCTCCTGACCTCATGATCTTCCTGCCTCAGTCTCCCAAAGTGCTGGGATTACAGGCATGAGCCACCACACCTGGCCGAGAATTCTTTATAAGCATTTTCTATGGTTCCTTTCTAATTTGAGTACTAGAGGATGTCTGTTTATCTTACAACAACAAAACCAACCCCGACAATCTTTGAAGCTCAGCAACCCTTTGTGGAGATATATGATGCTTATAAACAATCTCCATTCCTTGCAAAGGAAATGCTGTGTGATACATTTGCATCTAATTTGTGTCCGAGGAAGGGACACTACTGTTGGCTCCCTGGCCTCTCTGCCTGGCTCTCTGATCTTTTTTTTTTTTTTTGAGACAGAGTCTTTCTCTGTCGCCTAGCTGGAGTACAATGGGCGCGATCGCAGCTCACCACAACCTCCACCTCCGGGTTCAAGCAGTTCTCCTGCCTCAGCCTCCTGAGTAGCTGGGACTACAGGGTTGCACCACCATGCCTGGCTAATTTTTGTATTTTCAGTAGAGACAGGATTTCACCCTGTTGGTCGGGCTGGTCTTGAACTCCTGACCTCGTGATCTGCCTGCCTCGCTGGGATTACAGGCACGAGCCACTGTGCCCAACCCTCTCTGACCTTCTAATGAGGTCATAGCCCCTTCAACTCAAATTCTCTCCAGGTCCTCAATTTGGGCAGAGATTTCCCAACTTGTATGACTGCAAAAGGAGGCCAGAAACCAAAAGTATCCTGTTCCTAAAGGTCATTCTTCGTGATAGGGAGCACCAGATGCAAAAAGAACACCAGGCTTCTGCAAATTAACCCACACATTGCTGCCAGGTGTTGGGAGGAATGTATTAACACATGCTATCTGAGATATTTGGAAGCTGTGTGTTAGGCTGCCTTCTCTAATGCCAAGTTATTTCCTTGTTTTCCCAAATTCATCTTAAGCCATCTTAAAATCTCTTCCTCTTGATCCCCTTTGATGCCCTTTTAGCGGCGTCACCTACGAACCCCGTGAAATTCCTGAGGAATAAAGGTAAGCCAGGGGATCTGGAAGGGCGGGCGGGTGGACCCACAACATTCCTGAAGCTGTTGTGATGTGTGGCTGCAGAGGGTGCCGGGTGGTCACCAAGGAGTCTGCACAAGGAGTCTGCGCCTTCACGTGTGTTAGACAAGGTGCCCCCTCTGGAGGGGGATGCACAGTGACACTGTCTGGGGCAGGTGAGAAGTGCCTGAACTCCATGGACTGGTGTTGTAGTGAGTAAAGCACAGGCTGTGTCTGAGATCTCTGTGGAGCACTCAGAATGCATGGGCACACACAGCGACCCCGTCAGCAGCCTTTCTAGCAACTCTCCCCACCGTGGCTTGTCCTGGAACCACCTCAACACCACTCGCTTCAGAGTCCTCCAAAGCAGAAGGCACCTTGTGTCCTGCTGCTGCTCCCGCCCCAGAGCGTCCTTCCTTCTCCTCTGCACATTTGCTAAGTGCCTGCAACGGGACGGCTACTGAGTCAGCTCCGTCCCCCGCCCTCCAATCCCCACTGCTTTAGCACGTAGCCACCATTTGTTTTAATCACGTACGCTGAGTGAGACATGCAGACGCAGAAATGACTGTTGTGAAGGAAGAAGCCTGGTACTCACGGGTCCCTAGAAGTAGGAGGCCACACAAGGAAGCACCAGGGTTGGTCAGGAGGCAAAGGGAGCCAGGAAAGGTGTGAGCAAAACCCTTTTATTCTGGGCCAGGCGCGGTGGTTCATGCCTGTGATCCCAGCACTTAGGAAGGCCGAGGCAGGCAAATCACTTGAGGTCAAGAGTTCAAGACCAGCCTGGGTAACATGGTGAAACCCTATCTCTACTAAAAATACAAAAATTAGCTGGGAGTGGTGGTGGGCACCTGTAGTCCCAGGTATTCGGGAGGCTGAGCGGGGAGAATTGCATGAACCTGGGAAGTGGAGGCTGCAGTGAGCTGAGATGGTGTCACTGTACTCTAGCCTGGGCAACAGAGGGAGACTATCTTTTAAAAAAACAAACGCTGGGCACGGTGGTTCACGCCTGTAATCCCAGCACTTTGGGAGGCCGAGACGGGCAGATCACGAGGTCAGGAGACTGAGACCATCCTGGCTAACGCGGTGAAGCTTTGTCTGTACTAAAAAATACAAAAAACTAGCGGGGCGAGGTGGCGGGCGCCTGTAGTCCCAGCTACTCGGGAGGCTGAGGCAGGAGAATGGCGTGAACCCGGGAGGTGGAGCTTGCATTGAGCTGAGATCCAGCCACTGCACTACAGCCTGGGCGGCAGAGCAAGATTCCTTCTCAAAAAACAAAACAAAACAAAACAAACTTTATTCTGGTTTTTATAGGAAGCAGGTAGGCAAGGCAGGCTTGGGATCAGCTTGAGTGATTTGGTGGCTGTGCAGCGTGGGGTCTGTCCCTGGTTGTCCGGGACCTGGCCCTGGGGTAGCTGGGGGCAGGGGATAGTGGCCTGGAGCATGAGAGCTCCATAGAGATTGTTGAGGCATAGGCTTCGGGTGGGTCGGCTTGCACATGAAAGGTGGACTCACAGGCCAGAGTTTACTATCTTTAGGAATTGGCTGGACCTGGGAGGGGCAGTATCTTTAAGGGTCAGTTAAGGCCCCAAGATGTCAAAGTATCAGGAAACGCAGAAAATAAAAAACACAATGAATACATCCATCCATGCCAAACACATTATCAATCTTCCTAAAGCTCAGCTATGACTATTTCACCTGCCCATTGACACCACTGTCACCAAAGCACAGAGCTTGAGTCCCGGCTAGGGTGTCAAAGGCCCGTACACTGGTCCTTCTTTTGACACTAGCTTGTTTTGTGCGCTGGCGCTGGAAGGTCACTGAGACCTCTGCCACCCCTGAGCCTCAGGTCCCAGTTGTAGGTAGAATGGAGGCGGGACAAAATTGTTTGTCTAATAAAGTTGATGGTCCGGTTGCGGTAGCTTGTGCCTGTAATCCCAGCACTTTGGGAGGCTGAGGTGGGTAGCTCACCTGAGGTCGGGAGTTTGAGACCAGCCTGGCCAACATGGTGAAACCCCATCTCTACTAAAAAATACAAAAATTGGCCGGGCGCGGTGGCTCAAGCCTGTAATCCCAGCACTGTGGGAGGCCGAGACGGGAGGATCACGAGGTCAGGAGATCGAGACCATCCTGGCTAACACGGTGAAACCCCGTCTCTACTAAAAATACAAAAAACTAGCCGGGCGAGGTGGCGGGCGCCTGTAGTCCCAGCTACTCCGGAGGCTGAGGCAGGAGAATGGCGTAAACCCGGGAGGCGGAGCTTGCAGTGAGCTGAGATCTGGCCACTGCACTCCAGCCTGGGCCACAGAGCGAGATTCCGTCTCAAAAAAAAAAAAAAAAAACAAAAACAAAAATTAGCTGGGCATGGTGGCGGGCACCTGTAATCCCAGCTACTCAGGAGGCTGAGGCAGGAGAATCGCTTGAACCTGGGAGGTGGAGGTTGAAGGGAGCAGAGATCCAGCCCCTGCACTCCAGCCTGGTGACAGAGTGAGACTCCATATCAAAAAAAAAAAAAATATATATATATATATATATATATATGGAAAGATGTCTGCCTTACTCATAGTAAGAATTGTGCATTGAAACTGCCAAGCTTAGCCGGGTGCGGTGGCTCAAGCCTATAATCCCAGCACTTTGGGAGGCCGAGACGGGCGGATCACGAGGTCAGGAGATCGAGACCATCCTGGCTAACACGGTGAAACCCCGTCTCTACTAAAAAAAACACAAAAAACTAGCCGGGCGAGGTGGCGGGCGCCTGTAGTCCCAGGTACTCGGGAGGCTGAGGCAGGAGAATGGCGTGAACCCGGGAGGCGGAGCTTGCAGTGAGCTGAGATCCGGTCACCGCACTCCAGCCCAGCCCAGGCGACAGAGAGAGACTCCGTCTCAAAAAAAAAAAAAAAAAAGAAACTGCCAAGCTTAAATAATGAAGTTCGACAAATATGATTAAGTACAGAGTTTATTTGAGCGCAAGCTTGAGGATGTCCACCCAGGAGACACTGACTTCAAACTAATGGGGACAGCAGTTCTAAAGAGAAGTTAAGGTTTCACTTATATGCACAGAGACTGACATTGTAGCAGGATTATAACATTCTCCATGTGAGACCAGTGCATAAGTTATAGCTATTTGATTGGTTCCAGACAGCAACCCCGTTCCAAGGAAGATTATTGCTGTGTGAGGAGGAGCAACCATCAGAGGGGGCTCTCACAGCTGGCACCTCTTGGTCTTCTTATTTACAGGAAAAAAAGGCAGAAGTTGCTGCTGCATCCTTGTGATTCAAGCTGCATAGCCACATTGCTCTCAAGTTTCAGAGTAGTTCAAGGTTCCAGCAGCTTTAAGTTTAAATTAGTTTAAGTTTGAATTATTTGATTTCATAAAACTACACTGTAATTCCAGTTTTCAGCTATCCTGTTGAAAGTGGGTAAAATGTCTCATAACTGTATCGGCAAAGGAGCTGGGAAACATAACCTCACGTCTTGTTTGTAGGCTAGCAGTGAGCACAACTTCTAGAAAGGGCAATTGACAGTTCTCATAAATAGAAAAACAATGCAATCACTTTTTTGTTTGTTTGTTTTTTTGAGACGGAGTTTTAATCTTGGCCCCCAGCCTGGAGTGCAATGATAAGATCTCGGCTCACCGCAACCTCCGCCTCCCGGGTTCAAGCGATTCTCCAACTCAGCCTCCTGAGTAACTGGGATTACAGGTGCCCACTACCATGCCAAGCTAATGTTGTGTTTTTAGCAGAGATGGAGTTTCACGATGTTAATCAGTCTGGTCTCGAAATCCTGATCGCAGGTGGTCCGTCCGGCTCAGCCTCCCAAAGTGCTGGGCTTACAGCAGACGTGAGCTACTGTGCCCAGCCAAGGCAATTACCTTTTTTTTTTTTTTTTTTTTGAGACAGAGTTTTGCTCTGTCGCCCAGGCTGGAGTGCAATGGTGCAATCTCAGCTCACTGCAACCTCTGCCTCCTGGGCTCAAGAGATTTTCCTGCCTCAGCCTCCCGAGCAGCTGGGATTACAGGTGTGCACCACCACACCCAGTTAATTTTTGTATTTTTAGTAGAGATGGGGTTTCACCATGTTGGCCAGGCTGGTCTCAAAGTCCTGACCCCATGATCCACCCACCTCGGCCTCCCAAAGTGCTGAGACTACAGGTGTGAGTCACTGCGCCCGGCCGGTGATTACTTTTTAACCTAGAGTGTTGAAATATACCTGGGGGATTTATTTTAATCAGTTATGACAAGAGTCCCAGACATACAAATGATCTTCATGAAGGAAAAAGTTTATACCCACAGATTCCTGGAAACAGGAGACACGGCCCACCACAGAGGGGCACACCAGGACCCTCAGGAAGCACAGGGAGGGAGGGTGAGCATGGCCCCTGCCTCCACTGGGGTTTCTGAGGGAAGGAATGGGTGAGGCATGGCAGGTACTCTGAGTAAATTTAGATTTGAATGGTTTAATTTTGGCAAACCATAGGGGTGGTTTCTCGTTGTCCAGTATTTGACCCTGGAGTGATTTAGGGCAGGCAGGGAGAGATTGGCTTAGTGTGTGAGTTTGAAAAGGAGATGGTTGGGGTGTGGGCTCTGGATTGGTTGGTTTGTATATCAAAGGTGTGCTTGCAGGGGAGTCATATGCTGTCTCTAAGAAATAACTAGCCCTGGGAAGGGAGGTTCTCCAGGATTAAGGCCCCAAATGCCAGAGCATCAGGAATATAGAAAATAAGAAAATATAATAAATACACCCAGCAATTCCATTTCTAGGAATTTCTTTTTTTTTTTTTTTTTTTTTTTAAGATAGAGTCTCGCTCTGTCCCCCAGGTTGGAGTACAGTGTCATAATCTTGGCTCACTGCAAGTTCTACCTCATGGGTTCACGCCATTCTCTTGCCTCAGTCTCCCAAGTAGCTGGGACTACAGGTGCCTGCCACCACACCCAGCTCATTTTCTTTTTTTTTTTTTTTTTTTTGAGACGGAGTCTGGCTCTGTCGCCCAGGGTGGAGTGCAGTAGCCGGATCTCAGCTCACTGCAAGCTCCGCCTCCCGGGTTTACGCCATTCTCCTGCCTCAGCCTCCCGAGTAGCTGGGACTACAGGCGCCGCCACCACGCCCGGCTAGTTTTTTGTATTTTTTTAGTGGAGACGGGGTTTCACCGTGTTAGCCAGGATGGTTTCGATCTCCTGACCTCGTGATCCGCCCGTCTCGGCCTCCCAAAGTGCTGGGATTACAGGCTTGAGCCACCGCGCCCGGCCTCATTTTCTTTTTTGTACTTTTAGTAGAGACGGGGTTTCATCATGTTAGCCAGAATGGTCTCAATCTCCTGACCTCGTGATCCACCCACCTCGGCCTCCCAGAGTGCTAGGATCACAGGTGTGAGCCACCATGCCTGGCCTATTTCTAGGAAATTTTATTAAAAATATGCTATTCATTTTCCTAGTCTACTTCTCCCATCCTGCTTGGTGACTTTCTCATATATTTCTCTAGCTCTGCAAATATCTCAGTGTCTTCTACCCCAGCCTTGCGCTCCCAGAATGCCCTTGTTTGCCTCCTTCACAAACAAAATTTAAGCAGTTAAAAGACAGTGTCCACACCCTCCTGTCTAACAGCAATCACACCCCCTTTCTCCGTCTCCTGCTGGAAATTGAACCGTCCGTGCCAAGGCTGGCCTCTGTCCCAGCTTCCATCCTCTTAGGCCAACTCAAGGACTTTCCTGGCAATTCTTTCTCCCTTTCCTGCATGCTCCGGTCTGAATGCTGGTGTCCGTTAACCCCATATCCATGTGTTGAAATCCTAATCTCAAAGGTCAGGATATTAGGAGTTGCAGCCTTTGGGGGATGACGAGGTCATGAGGGTGGAACCCCCATGACTGGGAATAGTACCTTTACAATAGAAGTCACAGAGAGCTATCTCACTCCTTCCTGTAAGGACACAACAAAGAAGCCGCCCTCTGTTGAACCAGAAAGTGAATCCTCGCCAGCCACCAAAGCTGCTGATATCTTGATCTGGGACCTCCCAGCCTCCAGAATTGTGAGAAATCAATGTCCGTTGTTTCTTTGTTTTTTGTTTTTTGTTTTTGTTTTTTTCCATACAGAGTCTTGCTCTGTCGCCCAGGCTGGAGTTCAGTGGTGTGATCTCTGCTCACTGCAACCTCCGCCTCCCGGGTTCAAGCAATTCTCCTGCCTCAGCCTCCTGAGTAGCTGGGATTACAGGCGTCAGCCACCATGCCTGGCTAATTTTATTTTGTATTTTTAGTAGAGATGGAGTTCTGCCATGTTGGTCAGGCTGGTCTCGAACTCCTGCCCTCCTGATCCACCTGCCTCGGCCTCCCAAAGGTTTTTTTTTTTTTTTTTGAGACAGGGTTTCATTCCCATCACCCAGGCTGGAGTGTAATGGCGCAGTTTCACCTCACTACAACCTCCTGCTCCCTAGCTCGAGCAATTCTCCTGCCTCAGCCTCCTGAGTAGCTGGGAGTACAGGCACCTGCCACCTCATCTGACGAATTTTTGTATTTTTTATAGAGTCAGGGTTTCACCATGTTGCCCAGGCTGGTCTTGAACTCCTGAGCTCACGCATGATCTGCCCACCTCCCGAAGTGCTGGGATTATAGGAGTGGGCCACTGCGGCTGGCTGTGTCTGTTGTTTCTAAGCCACCAAGCCTGTGGTGTTTCGTTACAGCAGCCAGAATGAACTGGTACTATAGTATCACGATTCACTGTCTCATTCCCATTCACGAACGTGCTGCCAATGTTCACATCTTAAAAACAAGATCGGTCTCTTGATCTCTTAGACTCCTCCAGGAGCTGTGCCCATTTCTCTTCTTTCTTTTATACAAAGTTCCCCAAAATCATTTTCAAAATTCACGGTTTCCAGTTACTTTCTTCTTACTCCCTCCTGAACCTGCTTCACTTGTGTCCCCACCACACAGCTAATATGTCCTCTGCCTAGATCTCTAATGACCTCCTGGATGCCCCATCTAACGGTCCGTTTTCAGTTTTCTTTACTTTTCTTTTTTTTTGGACAGAGTCTCGCTCTGTCATCCAGGCTGGAGTGCAGTGGCACGATTTCGACTCACTGCAACTTCTGCCTCCCAGGTTCAAGTGATTCTCCTGCCTCAGCCTCCCAAGTAGCTGGGACTATAGGTGTGAGCCACCATGCCCGGCTAATTTTTGTATTTTAAGTAGAGACGGGCTTTCGCCATGTTGCCCAGAGTGGTCTTGAACTCCTGACCTCAAGTGATCCACCTGCCTTGGCCTTCCAAAGTGCTGGCATTATAGGCGTGTGCCAGCTTGCCTGGCCCGTTTTCAGTTTTCATCACACCTAAACTATCTGCAACCTGTGTTCTTTTCCCTCCCAAAATATTTCCTCATGAAAATTTGAAAACATACAGAACAGTAGACAGAACTGTAGAGTGAACGCCCCGTATCCCTCACCTAAAATCTAGTTGTTCATTTTACACTCTTAGCTTTTTCATAGTCCAGGCTGTTTTCAGCATGCTGAGATTCACTGACGGGTGAATCTCAGGACGCTTTTCAGCTCAGGTGGCTGAACCCCTTGCCCTGTGCCAGTGAAGAGATGGCAGTCAGGGGAAGGCCAGGCACGAGGCAAGGGGGAGCTGCCTCAACTTGTCAGATTTTTTTTTTTTTTTTTTTTTTTGAGATGGAGACTTGCTCTGTCCCCCAGGCTGGAGTGCAATGGCACAACCTTGGCTCATTGCAACCTCTGCCTCCTGGGTCAAGCAATTTTCCCGCCTCAGCCTCCTGAGTAGCTGGGATTACAGGCACGTGGCACCATGCCCAGCTAATTTTTGTATTTTTAGTAGAGACAGGGTTTCAACATGTTGGTCAGGCTGGTCTCGAACTCCTGACCTCAGGTGATCCACCCACCTTGGCCTCCCAAAGTGCTGGAATTACAGGTGTGAGCCACGGCACCCATCCCAACTTGTCAGATTTTACAAGTGGCTGAATAATGCACTTACTTTGCTAGCTGCTATTTTGTTCAGTTTGCACAAACAACAACTTGTTATTTTTTCACATTTCAGATAATATGAAGGAGGATGACACACCTGAGCCTGCAAACAACAGCCATGATTTTTTTTTTTTTTTTTTTTTTTTTTTTTTGAGACGGAGTCTTGCTCTGTTACCCAGGCTGGAGTGCAGTGGCCGGATCTCAGCTCACTGCAAGCTCCACCTTTTGGGTTCACGCCATTCTCCTGCCTCAGCCTCCCGAGTAGCTGGGACTACAGGCGCCCGCCACCTCGCCCGGCTAGTTTTTTGTATTTTTAGTAGAGACGGGGTTTCACCGTGTTAGCCAGGATGGTCTCGATCTCCTGACCTCGTGATCCGCCTGTCTCGGCCTCCCAAAGTGCTGGGATTATAGGCTTGAGCCACCGCGCCTGGCCAACAGCCATGATTTTATAGGACGTTCCGTAGTCCTAAAATTGACACCTGGAATGCAGGTTCATGGAATTCCATCCTAAGTTGTCCTGCAATGTCCTTTCATGAGAGCACCACACAATCTGAGACCATCAGGGCAGCACCCACATCATAAGATGAAGGCCACTTCCCCTTCGGCTGCATACACAGCGGGTGTTGCCACACAGAGTCAGGGACCCAGTGTCTCTACAGAGCAGAGGGGAGGGCTCCAGCCCAGGACGGAAGGTGAACTTGAGTCAGGGATTGTTGGGAGCAAAAATTATATTTGTTCACATAGGCCGTAAAATCTAACTTCAGTATTTTCTAAAATTAAGAAAGCCTGAGCAACGTGGCAAAACCCCATCTCTACAAAAACATAAAACAATTAGGCAGGTGTGGTGGCGCATGCCTGTGGTGCCAGCTACTTGGGAGGCTGAGGCAGGAGGGCTCGGACCCGGGAGATGGAAGTTGCAGTGAGCTGTGATCATGCACTGCACTCCAGCCTGGGTGATAGAATGGGACTCTGTGTCCAAAAAAAAAAAAGCTATTTTTTAAAGTGTGTCTGGTTTTGACTTCTATTCCCCTCTGTAAGGACAAATATATTAACTGAAAGACATAGCTAAAATGAACATTTTTGAGCACTTATTTTCTTTTCTTTCTTTTTAGCAATAATTCGGCATAGACCCGCTCTTGTTAAAGTAATTTTAATTTCGAGCGTAGCCTTCAGCATTGCCCTGATAAGTGGGATGGCAATCTCCTATATGATATAGTAAGTATCTGCTAAGTAACATCTGCTATCCTTAAATGAGATGTAACAAGTCAACTGATTATTATTTATTGTCAAAGGATGATGATGACACATCTTACAATTGTTAAATTATTATAGTCATTATAAATTTCCAGATTAGTGTTTTTCAAAATGTGGGTTGTACTCATGTTGAGTAATGATACACATGAAAAAAAAAGAAAGGCACAGGACAGAATACAATTCAGCAGAATAGAAAATATTAGAAAATATTACTTAAAATATTAATGTAAAAGGCTGATTTTTAAACTTTTCAGACACACGTGTGAGACATGTACACACAGAGACACATGGTTGTGAAATAAAATATATTTTTTACTGGGAATCATGATCAAAAATGTTTGAAAGACACAGTTTGAGATGCTGGCATCCTCCCAAAATTCAGTATTTTATTTATTTTTTTACTTTTTTTTTGGGGTGGGGACGGAGTTTTGCTCTTGTTGCCCAGGCTAGAGTGCAGTGGTACAGGTCTTGGTTCACTGCAACCTCTGCCTCCTGGGTTCAAGCAATTCTCCAGCAATTCTCCCAGCATTTGGTATTTTAAAATGAACTTGAGGCTGGGTGTGGTGGCTCATGCCTGTAATCCCAGCACTCTGGGAGACTGAGGCGGGTAGATCACCTGAGGTTAGGAGTTCGAGACCAGCCTGGTCAACATAGTAAAATGCTGTCTCTACTAAAAATACAAAAATTATCTGGGCATGGTGACCGGCGCCTGTAATCCCAGCTACTTGGGAGGCTGGGGCAGGAGAATCACTTGAACCTGGGAGGCAGGGGTTGCAGTGGGCAGAGATAATGCCATTGTACTCCAGCCTGGGCAACAAGAACAAAACTCTGTCTCAAATAATAAATAAATAAATAAATATAAAATGAACTTGCTACTTTGGAAGGAATCTCAATAGTGCACAGCAGAAAAGAGTGAGTACTCTCCTTTTCACTAGAAATATGTCAGTGCAGTCTGGGGTGATAGCAGCTTTGGGGGAAGATACGTCACCGTCTTCGCAAATGAAGCTTGAGGTCAAGCTCTTTCGAGTGATGTAATCATTTTGAAATTCACAGTAGAAAAAGGTGAGACACACTGTGACCTCACGTAGTTCTGACCAAAGCAACAGACTCTGACTCCTACTCTATGATTCCATGCTAGGATTCCATTGATATCCCACCAGAAACAGTTTGAAAAGTACAAAATTACTTGCTTCATTAGAATTAAGTATGAAAACGGGATATATTGCCATGTGTGGGATATTTTTTGAGGCAGCTATGTTGAGACCACCTTGGAGTAGGTCACATGAAGGCAAAGTGACATTTAAGGTAAAAGAGAAAAATGTTGCTAATGAGAGTGTAACCTGCGTGCTTGGTTGTGGGTTATCTCCACTACATCCACTTAATTTATGTAACTGTATAGGCCGGGGGCAGTGGCTGACACCTGTGATCCCAACACTTTGGGAGACCGAGGCAGGTGGATCGCTTAAACTCAAGTGTTTGAGACCAGCCTGGGCAACATGGTGAAACCCCATCTATACAAAAAATACAAAAATTAGCCAGGTGTGGTGGCACACACCTGTAGTCCCAGCTACTCTAGAGGCTGAGGTGGGAGCATGCTTTGAGCCCCAGAGGTGGAGGTTGCAGTGAGCTGAGGTCGCACCAGTGCACTCCAGCCTGGGTGACAGAGTGAGACCCTGTCTCCAAAAAAAAAAAAAAAAAAAAAAAAAATGTAACTGTAGCTTCTGTATATCTCATTATTATAGACAAAACTATTAATAAATATAAAGTTTTCTAATGCAACTCAGTAAAACATATCTCCTGGACACTCAGTGTTGAATTGAGTTGTTGAGCTAGTCCATTCTTGTTTTCACATTTGTATTAGCACTAAGCTAGAGTGGAGCCTGAGGCCAAAACCGAAACAAACAAACAAACAAAAAAACAAAACCACCTATTCAAAAATACAAGTTTTATGTAATTTTTAGTGGTTCATTTTTTCCAGAAGTAGATTTTGAAAATACTATTGGTAAGTTTGCTTTTATTTAAACCAGGAAAGTAAAATTACAATTAATTTTGTTTGGGGTATAAATGGTTTTATAATAATTTTTATTTTTTTTGGAGATGGAGTCTCACTCTGTCGCCCAGGCTGGAGTGCGTGGCATGATATCTGCTCACTGCAAGCTCCGCCTCCCAGGTTCACGCCATTCTCCTGCCTCAGCCTCCCGAGTAGCTGGGACTACAGGCGCCTGCCACCACAACTGGCTAATTGTTTTTGTAGTTTTAGTTGGAGACAGGGTTTCACTGTGTTACCCAGGATGGTCTCGATCTTCTGACCTCGTGATCTGCCCGCCTCGGCCTCCCAAAATGCTGGGATTACAGGCGTGAGCCACTACGCCTGACCTAGATAAAATATTTAAACTTAACGTTGTGACTTTTCATACACCAGTTTTCAATTATTAAAAATATTCTGGGCCGGGCACAGTGGCTCAAGCCTGTAATCCCAGCACTTTGGGAGGCCGAGATGGGCGGATCACGAGGTCAGGAGATCGAGACCATCCTGGCTAACACGGTGAAACCCCGTCTCTACTAAAAAGATACAGAAAACTAGCCAGGCGAGGTTGCGGGCGCCTGTAGTCCCAGCTACTCGGGAGGCTGAGACAGGAGAACGGCGTGAACCCGGGAGGCGGAGCTTGCTGTGAGCTGAGATCCAGCCACTGCACTCTAGCCTGGGCGACAGAGCGAGACTCTGTCTCAAAAAAAGAAAAAAAAAAAAAAAATTTCTGAACTTCTTAAGTGTTTTGGAAAAGAATAAGCATTTAAAAATACATTAAAACATATGTATAGGGACTCACACCTTTCCTTTTGACTCAAGCTCCCCCGTGGTTCAGCACAGCACTGTTGGATCCTATCTCTGTTTACAATTTTGATATTTGGTATATCCTGGAATTTTTTTTTTTTTTCTTCATTTCAATTTTTAAAAATATTGAGTTAAGGGCTGGGAGTGGTGGCTCACGCCTGTAATCCCAGCACTTTGGGAGGCCGAGGTGGGTGGATCACCTGAGGTTGGGAGTTCAAGACCAGCCTGATCAGCATGGAGAAACCCCATCTGTACTAAAAATACAGAAAAATTAGCCGGGCGTGGTGGCGCATGCCTGTAATCCCAGCTACTCGGGAGGCTGAGGCAGGAGAATCGCTTGAACCTGGGAGGCACAGGTTGTGGTGAGCCGAGATCACGCCATTGCACTCCAGCCTGGGCAACAAAGCGAAACTCCATCTCAAAAAAAAAAAAAAAAAAAATACTCATCTTCATTTTTCAGTGTCTGGGGCACCTCCTTACATTTCACACTGAGGCGAGCACCTCCCTCTTGTCACTCAATTCTTGCTCCTGCCCCAGCCTTTTGACGATCTTTGGTGATGTTTGCAGCGAGCTGTGCTGCCTCACAGCTTCTAGAGTGCCCACACCCTTCCCCCACCACTGCCCCTGGAACCCAAAGGAGCCAACCCTCTGCTGGGATTTGGCTCTGAGCAAGAAAAACAAAAAACGAGTAAGCTAACCCTAAAAGTTTTTTATTTTTTATTTTTTTGAGACGGAGTTTCACTCTTGTTGCCCAGGCTGGAGTGCAATGGCGCGATCTCGGCTCACTGCAACTTCTGCCTCCCGGGTTCAAGTGATTCTCCTGCCTCAGCCCCCCAAATAGCTGGGATTACAGGCATGCGCCATCACGCCCTGCTAATTTTGTATTTTTTTAGTACAGACAGGGTTTCTCCATGTTGGTCAGGCTGGCCTCGAACTCCTGACCTCAGGTGATCTACCCGCCTCAGCCTACCAAAGTGCTGGGATTACAGGCGTGAGCCACTGCGCCTGGCCCCTAAAAGTATTTTTTTATTACATAATTCACACAGTACTGGGAAGGTAAGCATGTTAAGAAAACACTGTCATCTATTTCCACACCAAACAGAAATAGCTGTTCAATGATCCACTTCCAGGATTGGACCTACAGTGAGGTAGAAACATCAGTAACACCCTTTCTGTCCCATTTTGTTCATCACGGATTTCTTGGCATTAATTTTTATTTTGTAAAATATTACACTGAAATATGACTATGGCTGGGCACAGTGGCTCACACCTGTAATTCCAGTGCTTTGGGAGGCCAAGGAGGAAAGGTAGCTTGAGCCTAGGAGTTTGAGACCATCCTGGGCAACATAGCAAGACCCTATTTCTACAAAAAAATACAAAAATAATTAGCTGGGCATGGTGCCATGAGCCTGTGGTCCCAGCTATTCAGGAGGCTGAGTAGGGAAGACTGAACCCAGGAGTTTGAGGCCCCAGCTATTCAGGAGGCTGAGTAGGGCACTGAACCCAGGAGTTTGAGGCTGCAGTGAAACCGTGATACATCAGTTCACTTCTAGTTTGGGTGACAGAATGAGACCCTGTTCCAAAGAAAGAAAGAGAAAAAAAAAAGGGGGAAAAGGAAGAAAAAAAAAGAAAAAGAAGGAAGGAGGGAGGAAGGAAAGAGACCCTGTTCCAAAGAAAGAAAGAGAGAAAAAAAAAAAAAGGGGGAAAGGAAAGAAAAAAAAAAAAGAAAAAAGAAGGAAGGGAGGGAGGAAGGAAAGAAAGAGAGAGGAACAAGAAAGAAAAAGAGAAAAGAAAGAAAAGAAAAGAAAGAAAAAAGGAAGAAAGAGAAAGAAAAAGAAAAAGAGAGAAAGAAAGATGATTTGTCTGATTATGGAGTTTTTTGTCAACACCTTAAGTTTGGAGCCCGATGTGAGTGCCTTGCTCACGTCTAGTCCTGGCTTTGATCCATGCTTTGGGATAAGAGTTACTCCTTACTCCAGGAAATGACCTGACCATGTAGACATTTGAGATCTGACCATGATTAGTCTGGTTTCAAAGTCTTACTTCTGCACCCACCCCACAAGCAACTCCTTTCCAGTCAAAAAGTGGCATGATTGAGAAATGAATTATTCACCATGAAAACTGTGCTTCTAAATTTATTTATATCATTCTCCAGTCGACTGGCACAGGCTGAGGAAAGACAACAGCTGGAGTCGCTTTATAAGAATATCAGGATACCGTCATTAGGAGACAAAGAAGAGGGCTCAGAGGATGAGGATGAGTCCACGCACCTACTTCCAGAGAACGAAAAGGAGCTGGAGAAGTTCATCCACTCAGGTAACGTGACCTGTCAGAGCCACTCGCAGGAAGGTCAAGCTGGCAGTGGTGGCTTGGTTTTCTTTTGTTTCTTTCTTTTTTCTTTTTTTGAGACAGAGTCTCGCTCTGTCGCCCAGGCTGGAGTGCAGTGGCATGATCTTGACTCACTGCAAGCTCCGCCTCCCATGTTCACAGCATTCTCCTGCCTCAGCCTCCCGAGTACCTGGAACTACAGGCGCCGCCACCATGCCCGGCTAATTTTTTGTATTTTTAGTAGAGACGGGGTTTCACCGTGTTAGCCAGGATGGTCTCGATCTCGTGACCTCGTGATCCGCCCGCCTCGGCCTCCCAAAGTGCTGGGATTACAGGCGTGAGCCACCACTGCCAACCTTTTTTTATTGTTTTTTTGAGACGGAGTCTCCCTGTCGCCCAGGCTGCAGTGCAGTGGCGCAATCTCGGCTCACTGCAACCTCTGCCACCTGGGTTTAAGTGATCCTCCTGCCTCAATCTCCCAAGTAATTGGGACTACAGGCGTGTGCCACCATGCCCTGCTAATTTTTTTTCTTTCTTTCTTTCTTTTTTTTTTTTTGTATTTTTAGTAAAGACAAGGTTTCACCGTGTTAGCCAGGATGGTCTTGATCTCCTTACCTTGTGATCTGCCTGCCTCAGTCTCTCAAAGTGCTGGGATTACAGGCGTGAGCCACTGTGCCCGGCCTGTGGCTTGGTTTTCAAAGGCAAAGATAAGTGGGAGTTAAGGGAGTTTGAAGTAAGAGAGACAAATATTCACAGCCGCACTTACGGAAATGAACCTTTCTCATCAAATCTTACAGCGGGGTGAACAGCTGTGGGGTTGCTCAGTTCCTTTTGCAGGGCAGTTCCACGGATCTAACAGAGTTCAGGAAACAAAGTTTTCCCAGCACAAAACATGTTTCCGTTAAACATACTCATTACCATGATGTTATCCTGCATTCAAAACATAGACACAGACGTTTCACCTGCACCATGTCTCCATCTGATGTGAAAATGGGATCCAGACCCACAAAACAGAGGTCACTACCCCAGGGTAAAAGTTCCCAGCATGCCATGCCCACCCCAGACATGTTCTCCTGTCCTTGTGAGAAGAGGGTGACGTTGATCGTTGCCCAGGCTGGAGTGCAGTGGTGTGATCTTGGTTCACTGCAACCTCTGCCTGATTTTGTACAAGTTCTTTTTTTTTTTTTTTTTTTGAGATGGAATCTCACTCTGTTGCCCAGCCTGGAGTGCAGTGGCGCGATCTCAGCTCACTGCAAGCTCCGCCTCCTGGGTTCACACCATTCTCCTGCCTCAGCCTCCCCAGCAGCTGGGACTACAGGTGCCCGCCACCAGGCCCATTGTATTTTTAATAGAGACGGGGTTTCACCCTGCTAGCCAGGATGGTCTCGATCTTCTGACCTCGTGATCCACCCGCCTCGGCCTCCCAAAGTACTGGGATTACAGGAGTGAGCCAATGCACCCCGGCTATGGAATTTTATTTATTTTTTTATTTTTTGAGACAGAGTCTCCCTATGTCACCCAGGCTGGAGTGCAGTGGAGAAATGTTGCCTCACTGCAACCTTTGCCTCCTGGGTTCAAGCAATTATCCTGCCTCAGCCTCCAGAGTAGCTGGGATTATAGGCGTGCACTGTGACGCCTGGCTAATTTTTGTACTTTTAGTAGAGACGGAGTTTCACCAGTTAGCCAGGCTGGTCTCCAACTCCTGACCTCAAGTCATCCACCTGCCTAGGCCTCCCAAAGTGCTAGGAGTATAGGCGTGAGTCACCACTCCCGGCTTTTTTTTTTCTTTTTCTTTTTTTTTGAGACAGAGTCTCACTATGTCACCCAGGCTGGAGTGCAGTGGTGTGATATCAGCTCACTGCAGCTTCAACCTCCTGGGCTCAGTTAATCCTCCCACCTCACCCTCCTGAGTGGCTGGGACTACAGGTGCAAGTCACTATGCCCAACTCATTTTTGTTTTTGTTTTTGTTTTGAGACAGAGTCTTGCTCTGTTGCCCAGGCTGGAGTGCAGTGGTGTGATCTTAGTTCACTGCAACCTCTGCCTCCTGGATTCAAGTGATTCTCATGCCTCAGCCTCCTGAATAGCTGGGATTACAGGCACGCGCCACCATGCCTGGCTCATTTTTGTATTTTTAGTAAAGACAAGGTCTCACCATGTTGGCCAGGCTGGTCTCGAACTCTTGACCTCAAGTGATCCACCCTCCTCAGCCTCCCAAAGTCCTGGGATTACAGGCATGAGGCACTGCACTGGGCTAGTTTTTGTATTTTTAGTAGGGACAGTTTTCGCCATGTTGCCCAGGTTGGTCACAAACTCCTGGGCTCAAGAGATCTTCCTGTCTTGGCCTCCCAAACTGTTGGGATTATAGGTGTGAGCCACCGAGCCTAGCCTGGAAGTTCTGAGATTCGTGGGTACCTATTTAAAAACTTCTAGAGAGAAACCTATAGAGAGTGCAGTGTGTGATTCAGCCATACTAACCATTCCTCACATGGACTTACTCTCTAAAAACTCCAGACGTAGCCAGAAAGAGGCAGAACGGCCAGAGCAGGAGAGATCACTGATGCTCACTGAGGCAGAGGGCTTCGTCATAACTTGTAGAAAACACTTTCCCAATGTCTCTTTACCACATTGGATTATAGCTTTTCTACATTCTTCTTCTTCTTTTACTGGGCATTTATACAACTTGAATACAAAATATGGGAAAATAATTTTAAAATTTAATTTTCACCATCCTTGTCAGACAAATAACATTCATTATGAATCCTCTGAAAATTCCACTGTTGGTACCTCCATTTTTCCAGGCTTTTTCCCTCACCCCTTTTGTCTCCAATTTTAATCCTCACTTATTACTATATCGATGACATCGTTTCTACATTTTAGTTATTAGATCAAAAAGAAGGAAAAATATGAAGAAGAAGAAACTGAGGGAAGAGAGAAACTCAGTAACACAAAAAGAAACAAAGAATACGTCACATAATGGAAAAATGGAAGATTTGTGAACACAGGTGACAGAGGTGCCGGCTGAGGCAGAGGAGAGACTATAGGGGTGCTGGGAGACTGAGCCCGTGGGCGTGGCTTGCTCCCAGAGAACCTTGTGGAAGAAGACATCAAAGAAAGAAATGCCAAACGTGTATCCCAGAAAATAAAGCCACATGACATAGCAACTCTTGTTTATTGGCTCTCATAGTTCATGAATAATTATAACTTAATTGGAAAATAGAAAAGAATCTAACTTTGTTAAGGGTGAAGAGAACTTGTCAGGATTTTCTTTTCTTGCTCCTGACCAGAAATATTGCACAAGTAGTTTTGGGGGACCATCTCCCAGACTTTGCCAGGGAATAGCTTTCATGAAGCCAAACTTTCCTGGTGAGATTACCTGTCAGTTCCATACCTTGTCTCCTTTGTACACATGAGGAAACTGAGGATGTCAAAATAAATATGATACCGGATTAAAACATAGTCGTTAGTCGGGCCTGGTGGTGCGCGCCTGTAATCCCAGCTATTCAGGAGGCTGAGGCAGGAGAATCGCTTGAGCCCGGGAGGCGGAGGTTGCAGTGAGCCGAGATTGCACCACTGCACTCCAGCCTGGTTGACAGAGCAAGATCCTGTCTCAAAAATAAATAAATTAATTAATTAAATTAAATAAGTAAATAAAACACACTCATCCAGGCCAGTCATGATGGCTCATGCCTGTAATCCCAACACTTCGGGAGCATGAGGCAGGCAGATTGCTTGAGTCCAGGAGTTCAAGAGCAGCCTGAACAACATAGTGAGGCCCCGTCTCCACAAAAAAAGGAAATATACACTCATCGCTGTCAGGTTCCAGCTCTCTCAAGGGAAACAGGCCCACAGGCAAGGAGCTAAGAAACACAGCCAGAGGTAGCAAGTGGACGCCAAGGGCTGTGGGATGCAGAGGCAAGATTGAGTGAAATGGTGCAGCTGCTTTGGAAAACAATCTGACGATTCCTCAGAAAGTTAAACACAGAGTTACTTACGACCCAGCAATTCCACTCCTAGGTATACATGCAAGAGAATTGAAAACACATGTACACACAAAAACCCTGCACACTAATGTTCTTTTTTTTTTTTTTTTTTGAGACGGAGTCTTGCTCTGTCGCCCTGACTGGAGTGCAGTGGTGTGATCTCGGCTCACTGCAACCTCCGCCTCCTGGGTTCAAGCCATTCTCCTGCCTCAGTCTTGTGAGTAGCTGGGATTACAGGCGCCCGCCACCACGCCTGGCTAATTTTTGTATTTTTAGTAGAGACGGGGTTTCACCATGTTGTCCAGGATGGCCTCAATCCCTTGACCTCGTGATCCTCCCACGTCAGCCTCTCAGAGTGACTTCATTCTTTTCTGTTGCTGAAAAATATTTAATTGTACAGATAGAGCACATTTTGCTTATCCACTTACTGGTTAATGGAAATTTGTGTTGTTTCCACCTTCCAATTAAACCCCTTTCCTTTATAAATTACCGCAGTCTTGGGTATGTATTAGCAGAGTGAGGACAGACTAATACAGGGGAATCTGAAAGGGCTATAGTAAAGTGACATTTAGCCAGTGACTTGAAAGGAGCAGGTAGCAAACACTCCATGCGGCTATTTGAGAGGAAAACAGTTGGGGCAGAGAGATCTGAAGTTGTTACTGGAAAAGGGTCCTGATCCAGGCCCCAAGAGAGGGTTCTTGGATCTCATTCAAGAAATAATTCAGAGCAAGTCCACAGAGTAACGTGAAAGTAAATTTATTGGCCGGGCGCGGTGGCTCAAGCCTGTAATCCCAGCACTTTGGGAGGCTGAGATGGGTGGATCACGAGGTCAGGAGATCGAGACCATCCTGGTTAACACGGTGAAACCCCATCTCTACTAAAAATACAAAAAAATTAGCCGGGCGTGGTGGCAGGCGCCTGTAGTCCCAGCTACTCGGGAGGCTGAGGCAGGAGAATGGCGTGAACCCAGGAGGCGGAGCTTGCAGTGAGCCGAGATAGTGCCACTGCACTCCAGCCTGGGCGACAGAGCGAGACTCCGCCTCAAAAAAAAAAAAAAAAAAAAAAAAAGAAAGTAAATTTATTGAGAAAGTAAAGGAATCAAAGGATGGCTACTTCATAGACAGAGCAGGGCATTCCCAGAAGTAAAAGGAGGAACATGCCCACCTTAGGTGCAGTGCTTGTTTATATATAAAACAACAAAGCAAAAAATCATACGGGAGGTGTGCTCTACCACAAGAGTTCCTGACAAAGGATTGTTAATCGTTGTGTAACTACTGACTTCCACAACGATGTCTATTATTAATAGTAAAATGAAACTTCTTTTTTTCTTTTTTTTGAGATGGAGTCTTGCTCTGTCACCAGGCTGGAGTGCAGTGGTGCAATTTCGGCTCACTGCAACCTCCACCTCCCAGGTTCAAGTGATCCTCTTGGCTCAGCCTCCCGAGTAGCTGGGACTACAGGCATGCGCCACCACGCCCAACTAATTTTTTGTATTTTTAGTAGAGACGGGGTTTCACCATGTTGGCCAGGATGGTCTTGATGTATTGACCTCGTGATCCGCCTGCCTTGGCCTCCCAAAGTGCTGTGATTGCAGGCGTGAGCCACCGCGTCCAGCCTAAAGTGAAACTTATTCTTAAACTAAGAATGCTTTTGTTCTTAAGATATTGAGACATCAGGACATTTCCTGGGTCCGTTAATTTCTGGGTTGGTTAAGTCCTGAGTCTGTCTGGAAAACATGATTAACCTGTTCCCTTAACTAACAACTTCTGGCGACGTGGAATGCCTAACCTCCTGGGAACACAGCCCAGCAGGTCTCAGTCTCATTTTACCCAGCCCCTATTCAAGATATAATGGAAATATTGTGGTGCCATTGTGGCCCAAGTGGTGAGATGGGTATGAAGTTCTAGGAGAACAAAAATTGAGTGTTGGGCCCAGACAAAGCCTTATAGGGTCATGGAAGCCACTGTGAGAGCTAAGGCTTAACTCAGGGAGGAGAAGGCACTGGAGAGTTTGGAAAGGGAAGTGACCAGACTGGACTGGGGATTGAAACACGTCCTTCTGGCTTGTACTTGGAGAATAGACAATGGTGAGTGAGGAATGGAAGAGGAAGACCATTTAGAGACAATTGTAAGAAAGCAGGTGTGAGATGATGGTAATGTGGTCCATGGCTATCACGTATGTATTGATGACAACCAATTCCATTCTGGTTGAATTTTGAGTCTAGGACAAACTTTGCTGAAAGATTGCACATGAGGCCTCCATGAGTCAAAAAAGACTCTAGCTGGATCAATGTTGTTAACACATGCAGTGCGGAAAAATATTAGATTCTTGTCCCTGGAAAGCAGAACACAACTTGCTCACAGGCTCCACATGAGCATGCAGGAAAGGAGTGAGGCATGATTATTGGGTTGTCTACTGAGGAGCCAGAAGGTCTGAGCTGCCACTGCTGAGGGGGTGACTCTGGGGCTGCAGATCCGGGAGCACGGGGTTTGGGATAACCTTTGGACAAGTCTAGTCTGAAAGGCTGATTACACAACCAGCTGGACAGGCTGACACAGCAAATGGATCCCATCTGGGGAAGTGTGAGCTATAAATATAAATAAGGGAAATGGCCAGGTGCAGTGGGTCACACCTGTAATCCCAGCACTTTGGGAGGCTGAAGCAGGCAGATCACTTGAACTCAGGAGTTTGAGACCAGCCTGGGCAACATAGCGAGACCCCTATCTCTACAAAAAAATACAAAACTTAGCCAGGTATAGTGGGCACCTGTAGTCCCAGCTACTCTGGAGGCTGAGATGGAAGGATTACTTGAGCTCAGGTGGTTGAGGTTGTACTGAGCCGTGACTGCACCACTGCACTCCAGCCTGGGTGACAGAGTGAGACCTTGTCTCAAAAAAAAAAAAAGAAAAGAAAAGAAAAGAAAGTCATAGAGCTGGAATCACACTGTGTAGCCTTTTCAGAATGGCTTCTTTGCTTTTTAATACACATTGAAATGTCCTCCATGTCTCTGACAAAGATTTTTCATGTCCTACTTTATGATAGTACATAAATAATAGAAAACAACATTTTGTTTTGCATTAGGAAAACAAACATGTATTGATTTGAGATTTGGTGGGTTTTTTCCCCCTAGTCGCAGCTCAAAAATCCTGCAGATTTAGCAGATTTAGAAGGGATCCCTGTTAATTGTGCGAAAGTTGATCATATGAATTGGGTCCTTCTTGTCATACCCACCTAAAACAGAGTTGAAAGAGCTGTGGCTGATCCAAAAATATAATTCTCTGGAAGCCTGGCTGCTGAAACTCCCTGCTGTAACCTGAAACAAGTTTTATTTCATGGCTACTGAAAGGACACACTGCAACTCTAAAACTAGTTCTGTAACTGAACAGTCTAGCCTGAAACTGCACGTTAAAAGTTTTTTTCCTTTTTCTCATTTTTCCCTAGTCTTGCGATATAACCTTGAACCTTACCACAGAATCTTTTCTTCTTGTTAGTCTTAAAATACAGCCTTGAAATGTACTTTCTTTGAAACACCATGTCCACCACTTCTCACCATACACTCCCTTAAACCATGCACATTTGTCCAATTGTGTGCTAGTATCTAATTATGTGCTTACTCAGAAGTTCCTGGGGATAATCTTGAGACAGACTTGGTAGGCATATGGACCTATCTGTGAAATTTCAGAGATTACTTCAAGGCAGTTAGTCAACCATCGGGCCATTATTGAAATGCAGCTAGCCCACACTCCTGGTGGACCATGGCTTGAGACAGCCACCAGAACAAGACATGCAGACCTAGTACTCAGCACCCCTCCTGCACACCTCCCAGTCCAAGTTCACATCCTTGGACTCAAAAACTCTGTTTTGAGCAAAACTCAGTATAACACCGCAACAAAAAAAAAAAAAAAAAAAAAAAAAGCAAAAAAACAATAACAAACCAAACCAAAATAAAACATAAGAGTTCTGTGAGACCTTCACTTTTTTCACCAGCTGATACTTCCCAAACACGATTCTGCCACCATTTTTGAATGACCACATAGTCATTACAATGGCAGCAGTGGCTGATCTGGAGGGGCCGCTGTGATGATGCCGGCTGCAAATGGGGAGGCACAGCCAGGGCTGCATGATCCGTGGAGCCCATGGGGGCTGGAAACAGGTGATCCCAGTGGGATCCCAGCCCCAAG